CATTTAAATTCTCTTCAAATTTTGTGAAGAAAGTCAGAAAAACAACAGCAGCAACAAGCCCGCCAAAGAACACCCAATGCAGAAGAAAGCAGCCCACAACAAGCAGTCAAAACCTGCGCCAGCTGCCAGCAAACAGCAGCAAGACATTCCGCTGCTGCTGCTGCTGCTGCTGCCGCAGCAAATGCTGCTGCTGCTGCTGCTGCTGCTGCGGGTTTCGCATTTCGGGTGCAGCTTTCGCAGCAGCAGCGTTGGAAGCAGCTGCAAATGGGCTCTAAACGGCATAAAAGAGTTTGAATTGAATTAAGTTGAATAAAATTGAATTAAATTCAATTAAATGAAAGATTTACTTGAATAATTACTGCAAAAAAGTCCGTTTTGCTCAAGTTGTTCAGCCCCACGCAGCCCGGGAGGAAATCCGCGCCGTCTAAAGACTTGCCGTAGAAGACCTCCGCAGACAGCCGAGCGACGTCTTCGGGTGTATATGTGGGGTTCAAGTTGTACTGCAGCAGCAGCAAACCTTATACGCTAATTTAGGGTTTGCCAATCACGCCCCTTCCCCTCCCAAACCCTAGCAGTCAAGACACAGCTACCACTCGGCGGCACCCAGACGCTGAACACCCTTTCCTCGAGCTCAAAATCTGGGGTTTAGGGTTTAGGGTTTAGGGTTCTCCGGGGGTTTAGGGTTTAGCGGCTCAGCTAGGGTTTGGGGTTTAGGGTCTCAGCCAGGGTTTGGGGTTTAGGGTCTCAGCTAGGGTATAGGGTTTAGGGTTTCTCTGCTGCGGCGCGCCCGGGGGCCATCTGGAGGCCCTGTAAGCGCTGGAGGGTGAGGGGGGCCAAACCCTAATTTAGGGTTTAGGGTTTAGGGTTTACGGACAATGATGTCTTGCAAAGAATAGTCCTGGACTTCGTAATTGTCCGGAAGACAATAAACTTTGCAAGTTGTCAAATTGACATAAACGAAATGGCGCTGCTCCAGCGCATGCATGAACGCGAAGGTGGACTTCCCCCGGCCTGCGCCCCAAACCCTAAACCCTAAACCCTAAACCCTAAACCCTAAACCCTAAACCCTACGCCCTGAATGCGCAGCAAGCCCTCCGCAGCCGCCCCAAGGCGAGGCTGTCGGCATCCGTATCTGCTTCTGCAAAGGAGAAGCTTAAACTAATTGATTGATTAATTAATTAATTAATTAATTAATTAATTAATTAATTAATTACCTTGAAAGTATCGCCCGCAAACCAAACAGGCGTAGACGTGCTGGTTGGAAAGGCAAATGCTGCAGACCTTTTCAAAGTCGAAGTCCAGCATATGTTTGTTGATAGTGCCTAAATAGGGGCAGGTGCGCCGCACCCGCTTCGCCGTGCTGCTGCTGCTGCTGCTGCTGCTGCTGCTGCTGCTGCTGCTGCTGCTGCTGCTGCTGTTGGTGCTGCTGCTGCTGGTGTCGGTGCTGCTGGGCGCGGGGTCTTCGGGGTTGTCTGCGGGCGGCGCGGAGCTGTCTGGGGCGTTCCGCCGCTTCGAGCCGGCGTCTGCTGCTGCTGCTGCTGCTTCTGCTGCTTCCGCTGCAGCAGCAGCAGCAGCAGCAGGAGCAGCAGCAGGCGCTGCTGTTGCTTCTGCCCTCGACATTTTCCTGCCACTCCACCTTCGCCCTTGCGACAGAAAGGCCCCAACTTTGCTGCTGCTGCAACTTCGGGGAATTAACAAAGACTGTCCCGCTGCTGCATGCGCATGCAGCGCCAGGGGCCCCCTAGGGGAACCACAAAGGGGAAAATGAGCAGCAAGAAACTGGAGAAATAATATTTAAAACAAAAATTTATTTAAAAATCAAAAACTTGTTCCAATGTATCTATCCTGCTGCTGCAAAAACAGCTGCTGCCGCTGCACTGGGGCCTCCAGCGAGGGCCCCCGGCTCCAAAAAGGGAGCACACAGCCCCACATTCGATCTTTTCAATCAATTACAAATATCAATCTTTTTTATTTTTTTAATTTCATTTTTTATTTTAATTAACCGTTTAAGAGCAGCAGCAGCGCAGCAGCAGCTGAGCTCCAGAGGAGGAGGCAGCAGCGCCTCCAGGGCCCGTTCACGCATGAAATCTGTCTGCCGCGCCTTCCCGCGCAAAATTATAATTATAAATATATTATAATTATGATATAAAATCAAACTGAATTACTTTTTACCACTTTCAAATGATAAATGCAAATAAAGAGCTCGAGAACCACCCACGCACTAGAGCAGGTCACCCGAGGCTGGTCTGTAGCTACACCCGAAGAGCCCCGAAGACAAAGTGGCTTGTACTTGATGTAAAGTCACTTCTTTAAAAAGAAACTCCTTCTAAGTTTACCACAACTAAATAAGCGAACTCTTTCCCTCTGTTTTCTCTTTTCAACAAGTGACCAACTGCAGGAAACTGTTGCCGTCCAGGTGTATATTCACCTCATCTGAACAGTCTGCTCTATTGGTCAAACTAGACCTCTCTTTATATTCCTTTTTCTAGTCTTTAAAAAAACAGTTAACTCTGAATTTGTGGGTGATCCAGTGCTCTATTCCTTCACTTATTTGGCCAAGCACCAGCTGAACTTTTTAAATAAAATTAAGTTCGAAACTTCGAAAGAAAAGTCGCGTTCCAAGGCACTCAGGTGTCTGTACACCCCGAGCACAAAAGCGCCAACTGTCTGCCCCCTTTCTGTAAGACACAGAAGACACACAAAACTAAATAAATATGAACCGCAACAGAAACGCAGCCACTGCTTAGCAGCAGCAACAGCAACAACAGCAGCAGTAGCAGCAGCAGCAAGATCAAGCCGCAGCAGCGCCAAGACCTGAGGGAGAGGCTGCATGCAAAAGGTGACAACTTTGCAAAATGGGGATTAAAGAAGCAAATAAAATGAAACAAATAAACATTTGCAGATTGCACAACTAAGTAAAATTAAAAAAAGTATTTTCAGATTAAAAAAAATAAATAACACATGAAGAAATAAATAATCCGAAATTAAACAAAGCAAAAAAAACAGAATATTGCAGAATTATACAAACAAATAAAATGGGAGAAATAAATATTCCAAAATTAAATAAATAAAATAACAAGCGAACATTCCAAAGTCAAGATTAAAACAAAAGACATACATAAACAACCAAAATAAAAGAAATAAATATTTCAAAATTAAAATAAATAAATAGAAATTCGTCAAGTCCAGTCTACTAAAGCGAGAACTTCACAAAATGGATATCAAAGGAGCAAACAAAATAAAGCCAAATAAACACTTTCAGATTAAATAAATGAATAAAACAAAAACAAATAAACACCCCAAGATTAAACAAATAAATGAATAAATAAATAATAAATAAATAAATGAATAAATAAATGTTTCAAGACTAAATAGATAAAAATAATTCGCCAAGATCAGTTTACTAAAGCAGCAGCTCATAGCCGTCCGCTCCCTCTGCGCCTTTGCTGCCCCCCTTATCCCGTGGGGCGTTTTGCTGCTGCTGGCGTTTCTGGCAGCAGCAAAACGCTTGACGGCTTTAAAAAAAGATATTTAAAAAGATTAAATAAAATAAAATGTGCTGCACGCATTACTGCTGCAGCAAAGCTGCTGCTGCAGCCAAGATTTCGCGCAAAGGGAAGCAAAAACAGCAGACGCGGGGGCCCCGGCCTTTCGCCCCGCCGGGGGGGCCCGGGAGCCTCAGGACTTCGTGGCTCGCGCAAAACGGATCATCAGCCAGCGAATTCAATGCCACAATTCCAAATATTAATTAATTTCTGAGTTTAAATTCAAAATAAAATTAAAATTGCGGAAAAGGACCATTTAGAACAAGATCGGGCAGCAGCGACACACCACAACGCAGCCACAGTGTCAAGCATGCAACATACATGGGGAACAACCGGCGACTACGGAGATGCAGCAGAAGAAACATGAAAAGGCAAAAATAAATTACAGAAAAGAACTTAATTGGGGAAAATAAAAGGAAATAAAAGGTAAAAATGCCGCAAAGGAACCGACTTGTCCTCGCAGTGACGAGGTGATGCCAATCAAATGTGAACGACTGAAGACAGGGGGAACCTCTGACCTTAATTCTTCACTTCAAAAGAAATAAAATTCACTTCTCCACCTCAAAAACATTTAATTTCATTTCATTTCGACAACAACGAAGTTCTCCGATGGCTGCAAGCCCAAGTTCCACCCCATGGGCGTGTGCCGTCTACGCAGTTGCTCCGCATGCAGCCCCACAGTGTCATAAATAGGATTTCCTGCGCAGTAAATGAATTACTTTATTGGAATCGTTATTTATTACAGCTAATTCACTAGAAACACGCAGTTTTTCGCACTCTCTGCTGCCGTTTTCCTCGCTAACTCCCCTCCCCGGTGAGTCTACGAGAGCCACTTCGCCTTCCTGCGGCGGAGTCCGCGGGAGGCTGAGGCCACAGAAGCCTCTGCTGCATGCAGAGCTTCGCAAGCAGAGCCTGCTGCAGCCACTGATTGAGTCTGCGCATGCATGCATGCATTGACTTCAAGCGAAACGAGTGTCTTAGATTGTTGTGGGGGCGGCTGCAGCCGTTGGCTGAGCTCTCTGCGGTGCGCTGAGGCGCGCTGAAATGGGCGCAGGCCCCACTTTCCCAGCATTGTGAGTTCCCAGCTGTGGCTAGCTGTGGCTAGCTGCTGGCTAGCTGCTGGCTAGCTGCTGGCTAGCTGCTGTGAGAGTGGCAGAGTTCAAGTACACAAACTAGTGGACCAGACCGGTCCACACAGAGCGGGCAGGACCAAATCGATCTGAGACAGAATAAATGAAGAAGCAAACCCAAACGCTAACCACGAAACCCTCAACTCCTAGAGCCTAGCAAAGCTAGCTGCTGCCATTCTTGCTTTGCTGCAGCTGCTGCAGCAGCGCATGCAGCTGCAGCGGACGAAAGACACTTCGCGTGGCGCCTGCGCACCCCAAACCCTGCGGCTTGCAGACTTCAGTGGCGAGGGTTTAGGGTTTTGAAATTAGGGTTTGCGATTGGGAATTAGTCGCATCTTCTCCAAACCGCGGTGATGAACTCCACTGCAACTCGGGCTTGGAAGCTGTGGTCCACGTAGAGGCCCCTGGGCTGTTTGTAGTTCATTTCTGCGCCTTTTTCTGCGCTTTTTCCCGCCTTTTTGGCCTTTTCGTCTCCACTAAAGTTGCGGCTAATGTTTCTGCATGCAGTTCCGAGCCAGCGCCACACGGCGGTGCCGATCAAGGGCCAAAACGACTCTTGAAACAGATTGTGGCCGCCCCGGCCCACCACTGCGTACGTGCAGTTCGGGTTGTACTTGGGCACTGTTGCTGCAGCCCGGCAAACTGCCAAAGGCTCCACAATCGGGTCATCCAGCGCATGCAGACACAGCAGCGGCACTGGGACCAGCAGCATGTGCGGCAGGCAAGTGGTCAGGGCGTAGTAGACGCGCGTGCAGGAAAGCGGGGAAGAGGGAGTGAAACAAATCGACAAGTGCGTCAGCAGGTCGATCTCTCGCAAAGTCGACGTCTGAAACGCAAAATACAAACAAATAAAACTATTTAGTCACACCTTTCGAAGGTTGTCTACGCGAAACCCGCAGCCGGCACGCATCCGCTTCAGTAGGGGCCGCACAACTTGAATTTTGCGCCGAAACCAACCGCGTAAAAGGCCCAAGTGATGCTAAAAAAAGACAATTCTAAACTAAACGGGTTATTCAACTAAAATGAGCAAAAATGCGATTATGATCACGAAAAAAACAGGCACTGACACGCGTTTCCACCCGTGAGCTGATCTCGGGAACAAGTGCACCCCAGTACGTCGAACACCGCGGAATCAAACCCCAAAAGCTCACCATCTGCGAAAGAGCTATTAGGCCAGGGTCCAGCCCTTTTGTGAGGTAATTGTTGCTGGGTTCCAGCCACTGCTTCACCTTGTACATCTTCAGCATTGTGCTTTTGCACAGCCGGCCGGTGACGCCGCCGGCGCGGTCCAGGGAGCCGATGCAGCTGCACGCAACCCAAACCCAACTTGAATAATTGCATTTTCAACAACAAAACACAATTTAAAACTCTAAATCGTTGGCAGCGTGCAGCACACTGCGAGCCACAAAGCCCAAGAGGGACACCCCGGCCAGAAACGCCCACAGACTCCCCCGACTGACACAGCCCACTAGCTCCTCAGAAAATCCAGAGCCCCCCGAGGTGATACTGAGATATTGAAAACAATTAGTGGTTATTAAGTGAAAACAAACCCCAATTGGTTGCAGCTGGGGGCCCGAGAGGCCGCCGGGGGCCCCTGAGGCAGCTTGGGCACTTCAGGTTACCTGTCCAGGCACATGGCGTTCGAGATGGTGACTGCGCCTTTGAGGAAACGAAGCCACTCGAGACAAGGCACATATTCACTGGCAACTGCTGCTGCGAGGTCCCTGCAAAAGGGGGATAGTTCCAGCTGGCTGCTGCTGCTGCTGCTGTTGCTGTTGCTGCGTTTGCTGCTGCCGCTGTACTCGCTGCTCTCGCTGCTAGGCGTGTCCGCGGCCGTGGTCTGTGCGGAGTCCTTGCTGGACCCTTCGCGCTGCTGCTGCTGCTGCAGCTGCTGCTGCAGCTGCTGAAACGCCTGCTGCAGCCCCAAAGAGCCCAGCAGCCGAAGAATTGCGCAAGACCCCATAGAGTATCCCATGAGAAATACGGGAGGAATAAATCCATCAGGAATGGATTTGAGAAAAGCCTCTTCTTCCCCCTCCGTTATCATCCTGCAGAAGCCCTCATCGACTTCGTCCATTGTCAACACAGTGCGATGCTGCTGCTGCTGCTGCTGCTGCTGCCAGTGCTGCTGCTCCTGGTGGGTATGGGCGTGCTCGTGGCCCTGCTGGCGGCGGCGCGGCTCCGCGCCCGCCTCCGCCGCGCCACGCTGCTGCTGCTGCTGCTGCTGCTGCTGCTGCTGGTTGGGGTCCTTGAAGCCGTTGACGTGGAGATGCAAAATGAAAGAAAGAGCAGCTTGAACATCAGCACTGGTGGTGAGGTCGGTGGGCAAGTCCGATATGGGGGCTTCTATTCCCCGCAAGCAAGATAAGAAAAAGACACAAAAACCCTTAGCAGCAGCAAGCAGCACCACGTGCTGCACCTGCATGTCGTACGCCTTAGCGCCGATACCTGCGCAGCAGCAGCAGCAACGGCAGTGGCAGCAGCAGCGGCCGCAGCAGCAGCAGCAGCAGCAGGACACTGGATGCCACGCGGATGCAGGCAGTAGGCGCAGATCTAAGATGAGCGACTGGGCTAGTTTGAGAGTTAATTTGATTACTTAATTAATTACTTGTAAATTGATTAATTATTGAATAATTAATTCGGAAACTTGAAAGAAAACTCACCGCCCACAATAAACAAAATGCCTCTGCAGCCGCAGCGGCCGTGGGGTCTACCGTGAGGGAAGCGGCTGTCCGTGCAGCCGACGTCTTCGGCCCGGGCCCCTGCTGCTGCTGCTGCTGCTGCTGCTGCCGCTTCGGCCGCAGCAGCAGCAGCACTTGCTGCTGGCTGCGGGTGCTGCGCGGGGCCCCAGCTGTCGCGACAGGCCGCGGGGTCCGTGCGGTGTCTGTAGTAATGCAAAAGGACTCTGTCGCCATCTACAGAAGTGACCCAATACCTTTTATCAAATTTAATAAGTCGAACAAATCCAGTTTCTTCCTGGAGGAACAGCAGCAGCCCCTGCACCAGCCGGTGCTGCAGCAGCAAGCTGCTGGGCGCGAAGCCCCGGCCCAGTGACGGGCACGCCTGCAGCAGCTGCTGCCGGTGCAGCGCCGGCGACTGCAGCCACGAAGCAGCAAGTTGGCAGGACTTGCATTGTTCGGGGGCCCCTTCGGGGGCCCCTGCGGCCACGAGGGCCTCGGAAAGGGCCCCGGGGGCCCTCGACAAGCCAGCAGCAGCAAACCCGGGCCCCGGGAACCCCATGCTGCTGCTGCTGCTGCTGCTGCTGGGGGGCGGGGCCCCCGGGGTGCCTCCCGCGGCGGAGTCGCCGCCGCCCTGCGCGAGGGGGAGGGCCTTGGGGGCCGCGTTGTGCGCCGCCGCTGCAGCAGCAGCAGCAGCAGCAGCAGCGTCTGCTGCTGCAGCGTCCGCGGGGGGCGGGGGGCCCCCAAACCAAGCCTTTTGAAGCTGCTGCTGCGGCGAAGCAGGCAGCAACTCCCCCTTGATGGGCTTGTGGAGATCAGCAGCAAAAGAAGGATGTTCAGAAAAGTTCGGAGAAGCCACGGGAGCCTCGCCCCCCCAGCCAGCAAATCTGTCCACTGCGCTGTGGGGCAGCAGAAAGAGGGGGAAGGAAGAGTTGGGCTGCGCAGCAAAGGTGTCGGGGGCCCCCGGGGGGCCCCCCGGGGCCCCCGTAGGGGCGCCGGGGGGCCCCCCGGGGGCCCCCGAGGCCCCTGCAGGGGAGATGGGAGCAGCAGCACGGCAGGCGAGGGCCCCCAGGAGGCCCCGCTTGTGGTGCGCATGCCAGGGCCTCACTAGGCCAGAGAGGCGCAGCAAATAGCCCCAGCTGCGGCTGCTGGGGCTTTCGCATGCGCCGCAGCTGGCAGCAGCACCTTGCTGCTGCTGCTCCTTGTGCAGCAGCGCCAAGTTGAGGGGCCGCGGGGCGAGGGCCCCCGTGCCGATGACTGCGGGCCGGTAGACGCGGCGCCAGCTGCGCGGCAGCGGCAGCAGCAGCAGCAGACACAGCAGCAGCACACACAGCAGCAGCAGCAGCAGCACACCCGCCAGCCAGCCCAGCGTGCTCGCGGCCCCACACAGGCCGCCCACCCACGGGCTCTTCGCCAAACCTGCCAAGTATGTGGGGCCCCGCGTGGCCACCCACTGCAGCAACGCCGGCGGCGCCATCTCGTGCTGCTGCTGCTGCTGCTGCTCGCCTTGCTGCGGGTGCTGCTGCCCAGGCTCCTCTCGAGATCAGCTAAACACCCGTGGCCTGCTGCCTGCTGCAGAGCCTGCCCATCGCAAGCCCGAAGCGCCTCCAGCGGGTTAAGCTGCTGCTGCTGCACAACTGGGGCGGAGAAGAGTCAGTGAAGAAGCACCCAAGACAAACAGCTGCCAAAGACCCAGAGGGGGCTTGGGGCCCCGCGCGCGGCCAGCGGAGACCTTTGCAGAAAGAAACAAATAAAACTAAGGTTCAGAAAAGATGAAGGGAAGTGGAAGACGAAGAGAAGCGAAAGCTTTGCAAAATATAAACGAACTTGCACCAGCCGCTCTGGGGTGGTGAGACCGACTCAGAACACGTGGGGGATGCGACTGTGCCGCTTAAGTGCAGCCTTCTTAGGACAGGAGGTAGACACAGACCCTTATAACAATTCAATAGTACGTAATAAATATAATTTATTTACTTCAGTCGATAACAAAAATACAAACACACCAATTCACCAAGCACGCAAACCCTCGCGCTGAAGCGCGACTCTGTCCGCCACGGTCGGGGCCCCCCACCTTTTACAGTGTCTGTGTCAAAAGAAAGGCCCCCGTTTGTTTTAAATGCTTTTAAATTTGTTGAACACTAGTTAATTTGTAGACAAGAGAGGTTTCGTGAGCACGACATTCTGGAACAACGCCGGTGCCTCCAAAAGGACACGCAACCGCACCAGCACTGCGCGCTGTTTTGTTCCTAAATTTAGTTTCCCCTTTCTCATATCCGTGTCAGTTTACGTATAATTTATATCCACCTCAGCCCCACTCATTCAGCTTGTCTTTGGCCCTGCGGGCCCCCCTTTTCTCGGAAATAGCCAGCTCGATCACCTATATCCGGAGCTCCTTCGCTGAGAGGGCACTCACAAACTCTGCACTGATAACAGCAACTTCGTGCAGCCTACATGTGGGGTTTCATGCTCCATATAGACACTCCACGAGGATGCAGACACCAGCACATGCAAAACGAATGGAACTTCGAGAAATTCAAGCAGTTCTTCGCGAAGATAAATGGAGCGTTCATGGCCAGTGACACATATCCACAGTTACAGGGCTGCAGAAGAACTAGATATCATTGCAATACTGATAAAGCCGTGGCTGAAGGAGTCACGGAGAACTATATAGCACTATTTTGGTCACGGGAACACCGCAAGAAACTAAGGATCTAATCAAAAACGCTGGAAGGCTACGCCCAGTCGATGGTATCCCGGCAGGTACATTGCAAGTCGAGAGGCGACACTTCAGAGAGACGCTGCAACGCAGACACACACAGGGTCCGCCGCTCTCCAGGGCTCTAGTGTTAGCAGAGTACGCCCTCTCAAACAATCAAAGCCCCCTGCATGCGTGTTCAGAAGTATTGGAACCTATAGTGGCATGCACAAGATTTGTGTGGAACCTATAATGGCATGCACAGGATTTGTGACACTGGTTGTGGGGATAGATCGAGGCAATGGATTTCTTTTTTGGGAACACGGTGCATTGCGTCATACCTTGTTTTCTCTGGAACACTCTGTGTTTATATGTTTTCTGATCCAGGGATCGACCAGAGTTGGCTCCCCCACTTCCTGCCGTGTCTGTGGGGCAGAGCCAATGGACCTCCCCACAATCATAGATTCATATACCGGTACGCGATTTTTCCAGCCACCACAATGAGCAGTGGACGATTAAAAGCTACATTTAGATCATTTCACTTGCAGTTAGATGCTAGCCCACACCCAATACAGGCCACTAACCTCTCTGGCCGTCCCACCCCTCGGATGGTCTGCTGCCGCTGGATTGGAGGCCAGCACCCCCTGCCTGATTCCACACCGCACTGTTTAACTTTTACGTCGAAAGCCTGAAACAGCGGTTTTCAAACTTCCGTCGTACACCGGGAATTTGCGCGGACTCTGTGGGTCAGCAAAAAGAAAAGCATCAAATTTCGGAGGAACAGAGGCTCCTGAAAAGCGAACTTTTACGCAAGACAGAGCCAAATCAGATTTCAGAGGAGCAGAGGCTGCCCAGAAGGGACCCTTCATGCGAGATGCCGCCAAATCAAAAGATTTTGTCTTCCAGGCTAGGGACGTTACAGGGGCTACCCAGAAGAGACCTTTCACGCGGGACGTAGCCCAATCAGGGGATTTTTCCTTCCAAACTAAAGATGCTAGGAAAAACGCTCATGTTTATAGATGGGGAAAAGCTAGTGCAGCTGTTATATGATTGCTTCTAAATGCATGCAGCTTCTTTGTCTCCTGACAGCTTGCTAAACCGCAATCCTTTGCATGATAAAACCACGACCGCAAGGAGTTTTACTGGGAAAACTCAGCTTGTAGAAGGCAACGCTTGACACTGAATACTCTGCCCGGCATGATCCAAAGTAATTCCGTTCACCCGTCGGCTCAGAGAGAATAGAAGACAGCTGTTACGGGGTGGAGCGCGTCACAATCCAGGATTCTTGTGTCGGCGCTTCCCAAGGAGAAGCTGAGCAGTTGGCTTTTTTTGCTAACTGATGCGACATGCTAGATGCTTTGCTACTTTGCTACCGATGCTAGTTGCACTAGGGCAAAATAAGTAGTTGCTCCATATAACGATACGCGCTTTTCCTCCGCTTGTGTTCATTCTGCCTGTGTCAATCTTCCCCGGATCCTCGTAAACACGCATCTGGAGACTCTTGGAGTAGTCATCCCACTAGTTTTGCCATTGATGAGTTGATCCTTTTTCCTCACTTCAGTGTCATGTCGTACCACGCTGTGTGCACCATCCGAGTGCATGAAATTCATGGATGCAGACGGTTCGTTGTTAAACGCCCTGATAAGCATTCAGCTCGAATCGCGGTTGTTTAGGCCCCTTCTTTAAGTGGGCCCCGGTAACAGCTGTCTTGCGGCGAGCAATCGACAGGTGTCTGATCCATGCCGCCTCTTCAGTATTTTATCAATTAGCTTGGTGTGTTCCTTTTGAGCCTTCCCGTGACCCTCGCAGCAAATTGCTATCAGATATTGTTGCACAGCAACAGTGACAAGAGTTACTGCCTCTTTTGCAAAGCTCTTCAAGTTGGTCACCACGTCCTAATTTATGAAGGCCTGCTCTTTGTTCCAGGAGTCCTCTCGCTGTTTCGTACAGGCAGCCGATTCTGCAGTGTTCGCGAGGTCCATCCACCAGAACTGGCAGCTCCCGCGCCACAGTTGGGTCTCGTACTTCTATACAGCATTTCTCATTTCTCCATGTACTTTAGAGAGGTACTTTGGTATGACATGGGCTGCCAGCCTTCTGGTGCTATGCCACTCTGCACCTCCGCAGCAGCACAATTCAGTGCCGCGCTGGAGTCACATACTTCTGACGACCATTGTTTAGATCGTAAGCCAAACATATTCCTGTGCCAGCTTCAAAGCACCAGGCATAACTCCGTCCGCATTACGTCAGCGCTTCGATACACACAACTAGTTCGTCTGCGCATACACTGCTCTTCACTTGCATCCACAGTATTGCCAACTAGCTTTTAGAGCACACAAGCTTCGACAGATATTGAACGCAAACAGATGCACACAGCTAGCACTTGCAGGTCATGACTCAATAGCAGTTGCGCTAATCGCCAGGCAAACGGCAGGTATTTAGCAACCTATTCCACTGGCCACCACCGCAGTGCGGCGCATTACAACGGAACACGAAATAAATTCTGACTTGTGAGTAAAATCATACTAAACCTAGTCGAAACAATAAGTAGGTATGCTAAATGTAAAAATGCAGATTCTCTGATAGTGGGTGGCCGCTTCATGCTCTGGTGGAGCACCCTGAGCGTGGGAGACGACACACGCCCCAGACCCCAGAGTCAGATATTGCGAACAAAGTACAATTGAACTCTACTGACTTCTGGAGCTTTAGTTACGTAAGCATAGTGTTCGTCCGTATTTAAGCGTTCATTTTATTCATTCATGGCGTTGAAAGCGTTTCTTCGACAGCATACAGGTCAACGTAGCAACCAAGCCGAGCTTGATGCACTACAACTGTGGGCAGCTCCGAAGTATATCTTTATGTCTCGGAAGCCGCACTTGCAAAGCCCCAGGGAAAGCGTGTCCTATAAGTAAGATATACGCTTCCATAACGTGCATCTCACAGGAGCACCCAGAAATCCTGCACTGGCGATATCCAGGAGAGGAACCCTTAGTAAAGACCCGGCAAAAAAATGCAAAACAAAAGGGTGGTACGGCTCAACTTGGAAGAAGGAGTCAGAAGCACTAATGAAATTCGTGTCGTTCAGCGCCCAAATGCCAAAGTGAAACTGGGACGAGGGATGCTGGTACAATTTGAACCGAAAGCCCGCCATCCGACGCCCGCGGTGAGAGTGCAATCACACGTTTTAACAAGGGAGCTATGCGTTGCGATGAACGCATTAGGCGCAAAAGATATGGTCCAGCACCCTTGTGACAGGGCCCACAAGAAAGGTCTTCTCACTAGGGAGGGGAACCACAGATGCCAGAGATATTGGAGAACATGCGGCTAAAAGTGCAGAGGGGCCTTTTTATCAAGCAACAGCGAAGCGCAACCACACGGCGACAAGAGAACTAGTAACTGGCAGTGGAATAGAAAGCAAAGGAGGAATGTGGGGCAACGCGATTTTAGGGGCCAAATACCCGATTAAGTAGTATGCAGTGCTGGTGGCACGGCATGTATGAATGCGCAACCAGTGAGTTCCGGGCCATGCACTGTAGCAGGACTACAGCGGCACTTGTCCATGATGATGTGGCTGCCCACATGCACGTAAAGCCTTGTTGCGTACGGGTGAATCTCTTGGGAATTTGACTCCGGAGACTGTAGAGCAGATACAGCAAATACCGCTCAGGTTGTGGCGGCTCTTTGAGCCACACGAGAGAAGTTATGTCCTGGCCGCGTGGTAACTTCATATGTCCAATGGGATAAGCTCAGAACCTCTGGAAAGGCCATATGATACGACGTATCTACAAAGTGCAGCGGCGACATGGGGAAAGCAGATGCATAATCAGATGGCACTTGGCAGAAGGCAACTGTAAAACAGGCGGAAGGTTTGCTTGCGAGACCGACACAAAGAAATAACGAAACGGCGGCCGCAGCATTTATATGCCCACTTCTCTAGCGAAATAATTCACGCAAGAGACATGAGGTGAAATTGAGAGTCAAGAAGGCGTGGCTCGTCCGGCAGGCATGCGTGAGCAGGCATGCATGGATTCCTACCATCTTAGTGGGCAGGCGCAAAGATCTTATGTTAAACTAGATCTGTCGGAATCAAACACAGAATTCGCTCTATGACACTATGAAGATCGGTAGTGCTTTGCTACTTTCACTCCAGCTTCACGGCAAAGTAGCTCCTCAAGTGTCGAGCTTTGAAGATTCTACAGTTGTCAACTACAGTGCAGACAAACATGAGAAGACGCGGAAAGAAAAGAAGCTTGAGTACATTCTCTTTGGTGAGTGACTGCAGCGAAGAGTCCCCAACCGAGATACTCGACATATTAATTGTGCACCTAGTTGTCTTCTCGAAGTTTTCGCCAGTCAAGATGCAGCCAGAATGTACTTCTTTTTGGCCAAAACTTTTGCGAAGCTCTGTCAGAAATCCTTCATTTATGATGTAAGGCGCGGCCAGCTAACTTGCAAACATGAGGTCGCTCACTTGTCACCAATCGGCTACATTTACAGGCAACCAGTTCAACCCCTGAGAACGCCTCAGAAAATATCTTATATAGGCGCGTGCATAGAATATTGACTGAATTGGGGCGTTGCTCACAGTGCCACATCAGTTGGAAGGAGCTACGACGCAAGGATGCACACCAGGAAGCACTGAGGCGCCACGACTTTTTCCAGCCCCCCATAAGTTTATTCTGATACATTTCTTAGAGATAGTGAATTTCCTAGGGTCTAAATCTACAAAGGGTAAAAGGATTCAACTTGACACAGAGAATTAGGTGGCCGATTGCGCCTCCCGCGCCCACTTCTTTGGGACTCATGGCTGGCTGGTAGTGAGGGGCAAATGATAAACGCGACGATTTGTCTTGAACAGATATATAGCACTGGAACTTTCTGAAATCCAACTGAGCTTTTAATGACGTCGGACCGTTACTTACTGTTGAAGGTACGTTGCAGCCTTCACCTCATACCCTTATCCTAGAAATGCAGCTGATGGCCTAGAACTACAAGACTAAGGCGCTAAACTAAAGCCCTTTGGGACTATTGGCATTTTCTGTACCAAATAGCTGCGCCTAATGCTCTACCGTGGGTTTGAAGTGACGGCACAGTCTAGAGAAGCGGCCCTGGTCCAAAACATAGTATCAGGCGAAGTTGCATGGTGTCCTTCATCCCCATTATTGTCTTATAGCTCGCCCACAGAGAATCAAAAGTGCTGCATTACTTAAATATAACAAACTAAGCACAAACTAATGGTGAAATGCGTGCATGAATCGCAGTGGACTGCTGCTTGCCTTTGCAGGACTTTATGCATTGTCCTTCATCGCTTGCAATGTATTTAGATCGGCTAAAAAGTTTATGTAATGAAAGAAATTTAACAAAAAGCAATACACAGTCGCTTGCTTCATGCCACGGCTGGAATTGTCAGGTCACAGGGTCTATGATCAACAGAGCATAACAGATCTACGTCTCCTTAAGTGCCTTGTTACTTTCCAGATGAGACAAAGTTTGTATTTTTTAAATTTTCGTTTTCAGGAAATAAAGTGATATTTTTCTGCGCGTTATCAGCGAAGAGTGAGCCTACTGTATCTTCAGCAGAGAGCGCAGCCGACTGGTTGCTGCATGCGACCAACCCCACTGATACCTCCTCACAAAGTGGACCCCAAGAAATACAGGATCTTGCTCGTAAAAATCCACTTTCTATAAAGTAATTTAACTGGAAACATAATTTTGTTAAAGAATCTTGCTGATTTATCTTCTTGAAAGGCTACAGCGACTTTCATTCACGACTGCGCAGATGTTCTGCTGCCACCACCTGCCAGCCAAAGTTCCAGGTTTCCGGGATTATTTGGATGCTGGCGCTTTAACATCCTTTTTCTCGTTCCCCCTACATTTTTTTGACTGCTTTTTATTTTGTTTCTTTGATTAATTGCAGTATTTCATCCCAGGGCATGGCTCCCTCAGCCCAAGCTGCTGTTCCTGCACCTGCTGCAGACGGCAGCGAAAACATGAACTTCAGCAAAGACGACGCCGCGTGGCTGGTGCGTCAGTTCGGCCGTTTCAGACCACTGCTGCAGACTCAAGATGGCTGTCCTGACTTCCTCACGGAGTTAGGCTTGGGGGCTTTATCTGCAGCCCCCGAAGCCCCAGTGCCGCAGGACGCAGACAGGAGCCGCCGGCTGCTGCAGTGGGCAAATAGGCAGCACAAGGAGCGGCTGCAGCATTTAAAACAGCTGGGAGCCGCACACTCGCGGTTCATTCGCTCTGGGTGAGGCAGCAGAGCCGCAGCAAACCCTCAGGGTTTAGGGTTCAGACTTGAGGGTTTGAAGAAACCTCTTCTGAGCCTTAACCATCTTCTAACAATTTCTTTCTGCGATATGTTTGCTGATTAGTGCAAGGACTCAGAGGCGGAAGCGAACAAGGGGCTGCGAGCTGGGGGTTGAGAGCAGCAGCAGCAGCAGCAGCGAGGAAGAACCGCCCTCAGCAGCAGCAGCAGCAGCAGCAGACGAAAACAGCAAGCCCACAGCAGCAGCTCGTAGTATCTCTGGGTCCGAAAAGTGAGAACTGTTTGCATATAAATGCATGCGAGCCTCTAAGATTCTCTAAAAGTGATAGTGAAGTTTTAAGAATTCATAATTTACACGTTTTACTATTTCTCCCGTTTTGCCCTCTTTGGCCTTTTGCCCTCTATGCCTACACATGACGTATTTGCTCTTCGGCATTTGCTGCAGTTCTGGTTTGCTGCTTCAGCTCGCAGCAACTCAGAATTAAAGATACATGCATGCGCATACACTTTTGCCCAAGATTGCATGCAAGAAAGCTAATTAGGCAGCTAATATTTCCCACAACAAATGCAAAATGGACAAGTTCTAATGTGCTGCTGCGCTGTCTTGTGGCCCTTGAGCAGCAGCGCCCAGCAGGCGTTTCCCGGTGCTGCTGCTGCTGCTGCTGCTGAGGATGACGCCGAAGAGTGCAACGTGCTGCTGTTTTCTGCATTTGATTTATTATTTTGTTCGACGGCCACTTCGAAACATTCAAAAGAGACTTTGCCGAGTTGTCTGCTGGACTTTGTCAGCGAAGCAAGGCAGCAGCAACTGCCTGCAGAAAGCCCCAGAAGGCTGCAGAAGCACAAGGAGGCAGCGCATGCAGCAAAAGTCAGCAGCAGCAGCAGCACTAACAGCAGCGACAAAACGTCCGAAGAAGATGCAGAAGTGGCGCAGTCTGCAGTGTGCGACGAGGCAGGTGCGTCTTGCGTTTCTGGGGTGTACGGACACCTGAGCGGGACCCACAGCTATCTCTGAAAAGCCTGAAATCAGAGTTTTTAGATTTTTTTTTGCACAGAGCTGCACCCCATTCGGCAGCTGCAAGAGAGCGTTTTGAATCTTCCCGAGCAAAACAAACAGACCAAAGAGAACCTGATGCGGGAGCAGGTGAGGGCAGGGCAAATCCCGTGGCCTATACCCCGAACTCTTGGCCTAAATTCTAAAAACTTGAATTTCCCTTTCTTGTTTTCTTGTTTTGCTGCAGCTGAAGCTGCTGGCAGTGCGCTGGAAGTGCCTGCTGATGAGCGGCTGGAATGTGCTGGTGGCGGGCTGTGGCAGCAAAGGCCGCCTGCTGCGCGAGTTCGCCAGCAGCATGTTAAGGTACAAATTAACTAATGCATTTTCTCTTTCTTTTTGAAGTAGAGTTCAATTTGGGTGCTGATCAGCTGCAGCAAGCAGCAGTTTCCTGCTGCTGCTGCAGCCTGTTGCGGAGGCAGCCTTTGGCTGCTGTTCAGCGCTGTCTTGTGCAAAAGTAGAAACCTCTTGTCCTTTTTTTGGCATTTTTGTCTCAGCGATGGCTTTTGCTGCGTTTTAAATGCTTACCAACGCGAGTTTAAACTGTCCCAGGCCCTGCAGGCCACAGCGCAGGTCATTCGAGGCCACCTGCGCACGCAGAGTAAATACACTGCAGCAGCAGCAGCCACAATTCCTGCTGCGCAGACTGCAGCAGGCAGCAGCGCCTCGTGCGACCGGCTCATCAAGGTAAGAAACGCATTTGGATTCGAAGGTGGTGCATGCGACATGCATGCAGCTTGAGCGCAGTAGCTCTGTTGACCAGTGGACCACACCGCAGAGCGCTGCTGCAGCTGCATCCGCGGGGGAAAAACACTTTTTGTTTTTTCAGGAACTGAAGGCCCTGCTGAAACAAAGCTGCCACCTCCTATATGTTATAGTAATTGGGTTTGAGAGTTCAACATTAACAGACACCCGCCGCCACCTGGCAGCGCTGGCGTCTTGTGATAAGGCAAGTGGGAGTTCGCAGTTTTCTGACTTGCAAAAAGTTGAAATCTTTTGTCCCCGCATTTCAATTTAATTCTGCCTTCTTTTGCATGCACTGCACACTTTTTTTCGAATTTTTCGTGAGGATTTCGCAGCAGGAGCAGCTGCTGCAGCGGGAGCTGTGCTGCTGCAAACTGCAGCAACAGTGCAGGCTCAGTTTAGTGGGATTTGTGAAATTCAGAAACAAAATTCGGAAATTTAATTTTGCAATTTGCACTTTGCTGCTGCTGCTCTCAGGTGCGCCTAGTCTGCAGCGCCGACCACATACAGCATGCGCTGCTGCTGGACGCAGCAGAGCTGCGGGACTTCCGCTTTGTGTTCGAGACAGCTCACACTCGCCAGGACTACAGGTGGGACAGAAAACAAGTTTATTTGCGCTATTTTGTCTCTTTTGCAAATTTGAACAAATAAACTAAACAAAACTACAAATATGATGCGCGGGGGCCATTTGGCCTCAGGTTCTGCACTCATTCGTGCTGCTGAGGTTTCCTAGTGGTCTCTGTGCGTATGCTGGTGTAGCGAGATCCTGCAGCATTTCCCAATATAAAGTGGCTGTGCATGGCTTTCACATTTTGCTGTCAATTGCTGTGTATTCACTTGAACAAGAGAATCTATGAAATGGATTTCGAGATCTTTTTGTGCAAAACTGCAGAGATGAAGTGCTGAGCCGGTGGGGCTCCATGTGCGGGTTCGTGCCTGGCTGGCTGTGGGCGGGAAGCAGAGTTCAGGGCGGCGGCAGGGGCGGCAGCAGCGTGAATTTCGAAGTGGTGATGCGAGGGTTGACGACGAACCACAAGCGGCTGCTGCGCTGCATTGCTGAGTTGCAGCTCGCGCAGATCGAGAGGTGAGAAAAGGGGATTTTCGAGCTTTCAAACATGCAAAACAATAAAGCTTGACCGAAAAATAAGCTGTGGCAGTCGTTTGACTTGCCCGCTCTTGTCTTGTGAATTTGAACACTTCCATCTTCTCATGCAGGCTTCAACGCCACCCTTTTGTCATGATCATGCTTTCTTGTGCTTTTTGCGCTGCTTGTTCAGAAACGAATCGCCCATTGTGGCTCTCAGTGATCTCGGCACTGAAACAAGCGGCATGTCCTTGTCTTTGAGCCGACTGAAACTCAAAGAGCTCCTCGTGGAGGTCACTAGCCACGGGGCCGCTGTGCAGGCGCGAAAAAATGGCCAGGAAGCTGTAGCTATTCGCGCAAATAAGTGTGTCCCGATCATTTTCTTGCAAATTACGTGTCATATTACATCTTCAAAAGCTTAGATAATTGTGGACTAAGCCTTCGTTTAGCCAACACACCATCTCGGCCCCAATTCATGTGGTTCTGTTTCTTTCGTGTGCGGCTGCCTTCGTCCCCTGCAGGGCTCAACTGCAAGAACTCCTTGGGCTTTTAGACAAAGCCGGACTCTGAAGTTAGACTTCTGTGGAGATTTTTTTCTATCTCCTCAAGCCTTGGCCTTTCTTGGGCCGGCTTTTGTGTAGGTCCTGTAGCCTCTTCCCTCCGCCGCTGATGCCGCTTCAAGCCTGAAGCTGTTAGTCTAGGCAATGTAATCAGTGCGCAGGGAAATGGAAGGTGGGCCCTTCTACAGGTTTGGCTCGCATGAGTCTGTGCAGAGCCTGGGCGTTGGGACGCCTGACTTGCAAACGCATTCAACATCTTGGAATTACATTTGCTGCTTAGGATTGCAGTATAGGGCTTTCGTAGTCCTTCGTCTAGAGAGCACCCAAACACAATCCGAGACCCAACAGAGCATGCAGATCCAGATTTTTGCTTTGCAAGGTTACCTTAGAGGAATGTGCACAGATGCTCCTTTGGATGCCTAGTGCAGTCTCTCCTTTACGCCCCTAGTTAATGAATTTTCCCCTCGGTGCGTGCAAAATTCCAGTTATAGGCTCGAGATGTATGTTAGATTTTTCATGTTCCATGTCCCAGAGACACTCTGTGGCGAATACGACTGAGGGGCAACAATAGCGCGAAGGAGCTTGAAGCCGGAAGGTGTTCGTCCTAAGATCCCCAAATCACCCATTATTTGATATTTCATTTCAAAAAATATGTAATACGTCATCTAAATATTGAAAGCGAGAACTCGTTTGCGGTTCTCGCACCTGGCGTCCGTAAAGGTCTGCACCGCTCGACACCGCGCCAAGTCCTTCCAAAGGTTCATCTTCAACCACTTTTGCCTTCATTTCTTATCGAAAAACTGGATAGTCTCTGTTTCTATTTGTCGCACTGCATACACGGGAAATTTTCACTTCTACTGCCCGTGTGGCCACTGACGACAGTTTCGCCTGCTGTGTCAGCAGCGCTTCCACTTGCCAACAGACGCGTTCTGCGGAACTCTTTGAGCGGAATGCCTTCGTATTTTCCATTTAAAGAGCTAATACAGCCATTATTATCATCAGCAGCGCTTTTGCTGCGGTAGCTGCTGCGGTTGAGTGTGAAATACCAGTGGTTTGTTAGTAGGCTCGATCGAGTGCCTCATTTCAGCTGTTACAAACCGCCGTGTCTGACAATGGCATTCTTCTTAAGCGCCAAGTGGGCATGGGTTGCCCTGCAATTTGTTCTTAAGAGGCGAGAGGAACTCCAGAAAATGCGGAAAAGAGGCATTGTGGTGGTCATCATAGGCGGCACCACTGGACTCGACATGGCCATTGTGCACAGCGTCTGTTCCCGTCTCACCCAAATTGAAACCTACGGAGTTCACAGCGTTATCATAACAACGAAGAACGAAACTGAAGGAGTCGTAAGCCGTTACTTCCGAGCTGCTGCAGCGTCTGCACATAGCTGTTGCAGTTTCATCAGCAGAAAGGCTGGGCCGCATTCCGTAGCTATCTCCAAGCCAAGAGCCAAAACAGTGACAGAATGAAATTTCTTACTTATTGCCCTCAGACGAGCCTGGAGCTGCTGCGTCACCCGACAGTTCGCGTAGGATACCATCAACTCGATGCGTCCAACAAGGAAAGCCTGATGGCCTTCTGCCAGCATTTCAAGGAGCAGTTCGAAAGCATCGATATCCTGATCAACAATGCAGGTAATCAGAGAGAAAGAGGAGAAGGCTTGGGTGTTCACCTTTTCATTCCAGTTGACCTGCTTCACCTTCTAAAGCTTTAGTCAAACAATCTCCTGGCGATGTAAATAGGCTCACAGTTTGCTTTCGTTAATCCTAATAATTAGGGCAAAAAGCAAGCTTCGGGGAAGGGGACTGTGAGGAAGCAATCTTCAGAAAACGTTTGCGTTGCTGCTTCTTTTGTTGCTGCGCAGGCATGCTTCCCTCAGCCGCTGAATTGGGCTGCAAGGGCGACACAGAGACAGTAATGAACGTAAACTACTACGATGCCAAACTGGTTAGTGCACTGCAGCAAAAGGCTCTTCGCAAGACAAGCTTTTCCATGCTTTTGCAATGCAAAAGGCAAACGCGCCGTCCTGCCAGTTTTTGGATCGACGCCCCTCATAACTTTGCATTTGCATGCTTCTTATTTTTTAATTCTGCGTTCGCATGCTTTTTATCTTCTAATTTTGCATTTGCATGCTTTTTATCTTCTTATTCAGGTGACATTCACACTGCTTCCCCTCATGGCTCCCGGCGGCCGCATTATCGTTGCGGCATCAGGCCTTGCTGAGCTCGCTATTCGCTGGATGAACAATGAGACGTTCACGAAGCTCTTCAGCGAAACTTCCACAGAAGATGCAAGTTTTTGTCCGCTCCTTAAAATTTGAATAGCTGTTCCTCTGTATTAAGTCTGATTTTTCCATTTTACTCATCCAACTTCACAATGCATACTGAAACTCTGGGTTTATTTGCAGGATATTGACGGTGTTGCTGGCGGTTTTGTTAAGGAAATTTGTGATTCAAGTGCAGGGGGCAAGCGCGTGCATGATGCACTGGCCTACCCCTTTGCTCAGGCAAGCTGACACTGCAACTTTCGCCGAACTCAGTCAGGTCATTTGAGCTGACGCAGGAGGTCCTGTTTACTTTCTGCAGCTTCTCTCGCCTCCGTATCCCCCGACTTGCTATGCGGCTTCGATACACTGAATGACTTTTGCATTATTCTTTCTGACTCGCTTAGGCTTCGCGAATCGCGCTGACTCAGTATCTGGGAAATCAGCTGAAGTGGAGCTCACGAGATCCTGCAATGCGCGTTACGGCCTGTTCTTTTACTCCGGGTAAGGCAGTAGTAGCCTGCTTAGTAGAACAATGACAATGGTGTAGTTTTCCACTGGTGGCAAGCGAGACAATCTTCCCCTTTCGCGGCCTTGTCTGATTCGCTGATGTTCGTAGTTCCTGTGGAGGTGCCCTACAGAATAGTTCTGCATGCAGAACTGCATGCAGATTGAGACGTAGCCTTTCCTTAATTACGTTTTATATAAAATAATCTCTTTTTTTAGGCTGGTGCCGGACTCCGTCTGGCAGCAACAGGGCTCCCTTCTCAGCTGCTGAAGGGGCAGAGGAAGCAGTCTACGCTGCCTTCGACGCAGACGCAGAGACAATCCAGGGTTCATTTCTCATAGGACGGAAACCCGCAAGATTTGGAGATGGACACGCAGTAGCAGTAACTGGAAATTCTGGGGAAGCACACACTGCAGCCGGGCGAAAAACAAACGACGACACATACAAATTTGCAACGGGGAAAATTGCAACAGCACTCGCTCTAGTTGCCCGGGTGGTCCGTTAGAGCTGTATGGATTTGAAGAAGACGGGAGCTTTGTGTGCAAAATGTATTTATTTTGTAGCGCTACGTGTAATTTAGTCCCAATGCATTTGTGCAACAAGTGGAAACGCAAATGTCGCCAGTTTGGCAAAAACGGAACAAGCACCGTGTCACAATGGAGTGAATTTGGCGCAAGCTTTAGTTTCAAAGCCAGTTGGATCCCTTTGCGGGGAAAACGGAGTTTCAAAGCAACAAGAAACTGCTCTTCCTATCGGAATTGGCGCTAAGGGTTTACTGTGGATTCGCCAATCACGACAGCAGCGTTACCGATCAAATAGAACAACACATTTGGAGCTGCGCCTCTTTTCTCAAGAGAGAAATTAGACAGGGCCCGAGATCACTTCATAATTGGAAAAACTTCGGCGAAAATGGTAGTTATGAAAGACAGAGGAGCCGCTGGTCTTCACCCTAGCGTGGATACTTGACAGCTTGATGCGTTTCCTCAGTCGACAGCATCGAATATTGAAAGGGAAGTGCAGCACATTGAGGCCAATATTCTGGCCTGGTTTTCGGGAACATCCAAACATTTTGGTCGTTTTTCTGTGATGTTCTTTGTGTTTTTCCCACTGAACCTGCATTGGCCTAGCCCTGCACTTGCTTTAGATCAACTGGAAAAAAATTGCCCGCTTAGAACAACTTGAAAATCTGTCTTCGCTTTAGTGGCTTCTTTGTAAGCCCATTTAAGCAACATGGCTCCTCCTTGAAAGCAGTTCCCTGAAAGCCATAAGTAACGCCAGAAGGGTCCAGCCGTATGCATGCAACCCAAACAACTTGCTAGAATGGAAGAAGAAGAGTAAGTTGCACAGGATTTCTTAGTTCGTTAAGTGGGCGTCGATACTAGCTTGCTGGCCATGATTAGTCACAGCAGGGTGTGTGACAGAGGAGGAAAGGAGTAGGGTTGCGTAATACTCTAATGTAGGCCGTTAGGCTCCAAGGATCTCCTTACTTCTGCCTGTTTAGAAAGGCCAAGCAAACCACTGATTAAGTAGCAGCGGCTTGGTACAGAGGACTGCAAATGCTCAATTCTTGCTTCGAGCCAACAATGCTGTGTTTCTTCTTTCGCTTGATTCGTGCTTTGCAGCGCTTGCTATTTCTGACCAGTTCAAATTACTCAACTGGTCTTGGCCAAGCACTAGAAATCTTAGTGTCTTTTAGAGTTAGTGAACTGCTCGGATCTTGCATATTTCACGTCAAGCCCAATGTAACATGCTGCTGTGCTGCACTGTTGCGGTCTTCTGCAGCGGTCCTGCGTCAAAACGCTGGATTGCAGCAGGCATGAGGCGGTGCAGCTAGAAAGGACCTAAATAAATGTCCTTTCAAAAGAAATAGAAGGTTCACTCATTAAGACTGTAATACTATTGCATTTTCCTGTTCGGCGTAACTGACTTTTCGCTCGCGCGAGTTAAGGACCAGGAAACGCCAACTCTAAAATTCGGCGGGACTGCCTGTAAAAGTTGGTTAAAATGTACCTAGAGTAAATGAAAGCTTTAAAAAACATTTAAGATGAGCTCAGGATGCTCCATGTGCGCTTCTCAACTTTGATTGATAGGAAGGAGGAGCTCGCCGTGCCAACCGACCGACGCGGCGAGCAGCGTGCAATGGCCAACCTCCAATAGCTATTTCGAAATGGTTTCAAAGCTTCTTCTCATTAAAAGCAAAGCTAAACGTATGTGAATGGCGATTTGCAGCATTCTCGGGAGCTTTTATCTGCATGCAGCGAGGCAGGCAGTGCTGAGGCCTGGGCCTGGGTCGGCCGTCACTGTGACGCAACGGTGTTCTTGGGTTTCAACTCTCAAACCACAACAATGCTACATTCTTAGCTTCTAGCCCTACTGTTTCGTGTCAACTGGTCTCTCAGAACCAACGACAAATTCATTCAGGCTCCATCCCAGCACCAGTGGCGGCTCCCGCTGTAGCTGCTACCGTTTTGGCTTTCCACCGCGAAAGAGCCGCCCTTTCATTATTATTTGTCAAAGATGAAATACAGATACTCCCACACATCCATATGAACCACTGTCGGCTCCTGTTTGCACTTCCAGAGCCGCGTTGCGGCACCTAGCCCTGCAGCAGAACAATCAACAGGAGGTAACGGAGCTCTAAAGCCAGCCACCGGCCTACTCGGAGTTTTATTGTGGTGCTCTTTGAGTATATTACAGAAGCACGTGGTCGGGGGCCGTTTGTGCAGGCCCTGCTCCCGCCCGAACTACAGGAACTGGAGTTACTCGTGCTGCCGCTGCTGCTCCATGAGCATTTGCCGTGTGCCTCTGCTGCTGCTCGCACGCATGCACCTGGGAGAGACTTTCGAGATCCAATGCACCACTCAGTGACAGATTTCATGAGCCGCCTTCGGAGGACGGACTCACCCTTGTCGCCTGTGTTTCTCCTGCCTCCGAAAATCCATTGGTCAAGGCCAATAGAAGATCGTCCGCAGCAGTAGCAGCGGCTGAAACAAGAGCAGCAAATTCCCAGTGAGCAGGCCTACACGAGTTTGGCTCTGGAGGCGCTTCGAGGGACACTGCGTGGGGGGCGGTTGCTTGGCCACTCAGCCTAGCAAACGATTCAGCTGCATTTTTCATGCAGGGAAAGATTATCAGTATGTCGAGTGCAGCATCTCCACCCTTTATAGTCTCGAAAGCCGCAACGACAGCTACAGCAGCACTACCGAGGGCAGGAGGAGCAGAAGCACTACGAGGGCACAAGAAGCGCCAGCGGCTTTGCCTCTGGACCTCGACGATTGCCTTGGGGTCTGAAGCCTTGACGAAGTAGCCTTCAATGTTGTGCTTTTTGAACTGCACGCTGCTGTAGTCTCACGAAATTCTCGTTTGCTGCATTTTCTTTTGTGTGGAGCCAGCAGCTTTTTCGGCGTGCCTGTGACCCCATTACAGCTCTCCGTGTACCTGCATCTTGACTCTTCATTTCTCGTTTTGAATTGTTTCTTTGACGACTTTTTGGCGTTATTTTTCTGTAACGGCGCTCCCCGGCCATAGCAACATTCCCGGCTGTTTCTTCTTCATCCCCACCACCCCGCCTCGTCTTTGCCTCGACGCCACAAAGCAACGATGGACAAACACGAAGAAATTATTCCCGTCGGGGACGGCTCGGACTCTTTCTCCGTGGAGAGCAGAGATGACACGCCGCGGTCAGAGGGTAGCGAGCGGCGGGCTAGCAAGTCCAACGACCGCATGCAGAAGGCGAAGCAGCAGTTAAAAATGAGCAAAGACAAGATTATTCACTCACTGAGTGCTAGCAAGAAGTCAAAGTCCCAGCCGAGAAGGGTGGAGCACGACGACGATGAGCCCATCGAGAGCACAGGGCCCAATACGGCTTTCTTCTCTCCCCCCTCGTTTCAGCTGACACAAATTATACATGACAGCCAGTGCTTTGTGCCCCGCCAAGGACACTCCTGTGCTGCGGGGGGAGGAGATGTTCTCATATTTGGAGGGCAGGACGCAGAAGGCCAGTTCCTAAACGACTTCATCAGATACATACCTGGGCTAAACGCGTTCGAACCCATGAAGGTCGGCTTAGAATGTTAAGAACAATGCTCGTATAAACGTAACTGCATGCAGATGAAGTGCATAGACAACGGTGGCTTAGTAAAAAAAACGGTATGAACAGAAACCCAGATCCTTGGAAGCGAATTAAATGTGTATGTCCGAACCACAAACTGCCGAACACTGACGTCTGACTGAGTGTCCCGTCCAGGTGCCGTCTCCTGCTGAATCTGCTTCAGTGCGAGACTGTTGCTGCATTTAGCTTATGTTGTACCTTACTTCATAATCTCTGCTCAATGCGCTTTTCCGCGAGATTTGTGCAGCTACAATTCTTCAGTTGTCGCTGGTGTGACCTGCATGCTAGGTATTGTGTGTGCATGAGCTAATGCTATTCTGAACAGAAAGTCAAAGGCCAGATTCCCACACCCCGCACTGGAGCCACGATGGTGAACTGGGTGAAACCCACAAATAGTGAGTCTTCTTTCCTGCCTCTTCGGAAAAGACATGCTCTTCTTCTTTGGCTCTACCCGCTTGTTTGCGTAGCTGCAGTTTACTGGGCTACACTGCCAATTTTTTTTGTCTGCCAACTCGATAGACTGTAGATAGGTTACTCCCCAAAGTATTTCTCATGCAAAGGAGCATAACATGTGGGTGCGTGGCATTGGCGCTCCCTACACAAAATACAGCAACATCACGAATCTTAAGCATGTTAATTCTGCTTTTCAGATAGAGAACATATATTTTTATTCGGAGGTAGAGGCCCGGGGGGGGACATCGCCACGGCGAGCCTTTACGACCCTGGGTCGCGAACGTGGACAGCAGTGGGAGGTATTAAGAAGCCCCCAAAGAGGAGTTCGCACGTCTCTGTGGTCTTTGAAAAGGTGTTTGTCCATGGAGGTAAAAGATGTGTATTGTGCTCCTGCGCCTACAACGCATAAAAACGATATTCTTGAGGCACAGGGGCTAACTCGTGGAACAGTGGTCTTAGTAAAGAGCATCTGCATCTCACAAATAGGCAGATCCGACATTTATAAGACTTCCTAGCGTAACCACTAATTCATTCGAAGAAGTATTGAACCATTGTTGCAGTGGCCAATACTTGCTGGACTTGGACTTGTGTTTGCGTTGTGAAAGGCCTGAGTGGCGACAATGTGCTGAGCGACATGTGGGTGTGGGACGGTGAGGAATGGTCTCAAGTTCGCTACGACAAATCAACCGAACCCATGTCAGCTCGCTGCGGCCACTCAGCCTCTGCGTGGGTGCACAAGAAACACAAAGAACCCTGTTTGTTCTTCTTTGGAGGCGATACTACAGGTGTTTCTTTGTCCCAGTCACCTTCTTCTAGTTTTCCTAGTTGCGTAAAATCGTAGAATCGAATGAGGCCAATATGAAATCGAAGAAAGCCAAAAACTCCGTTATTCTGAAGATAATTATGGGAGTGTGCCGCTGCGTTGGTGAATGCTTTCGTCG